GAAAACATGCTGCCGCGGAGATACCTACTGGTAAAAGTAATAGTATAAATGGTTGTATACAACTGACTCAAAGAGTTAGCCGATACATGATAGTATATTGATTGGCCGATAATTCTCATAGTTTGATCTGTCACCTGCCTTAAAAATAGGGACTATGTGGGCCATTTGCCACGTCGTTGGGAACACTCCAGAACGAATTGAGTTGGTGAATATTGTGAACGAAGGCTTGCAAATTTCTTTACAACAATATGTAATAAAAGAGGGAAGTATACTGTCGGGTCCCGCGCCTTTGTTGGCATCTAGTTTGAGAATTTTCTTTAGGATGCCTTTTTTATTTATGTTTTTGGTGCTTAATGAGTTAACAATACAGGAAAGTTATCCATTGACACACACTAAAACGATTCAATTAAATGAGTGGGTAAATCTGGGGATAAGTATCAAGTGCAAAGATTTATAAGTGGGTCAATTCCAAAGTCGGAAAAATAAAGTGTCACCTAAAGATCTTCCGTGGCAGACTCCCAGTTTTATTGGCGCCTAGAATTTATACCCCTTTTGACAGCTATGGCGGTACAGAATTACTATGGCGATCTCTTCTAAAAACTGTGTAACGGTTAACCGATAATTCATTGTCAAAAACGCTATTATTTAGGTTAGATTCAGTCAGGCATATTATATTAAAATTGCTATTAACTATATTCAAATAAAATTCAGGCATCTTAGACCTCAGTTGTTATTTGGATACTTGACGAATCCACATTAGTTTGTTTATTGCGTCGGGTAACGTTATTACAGGATGTACACGACCACTTCTGTCGGTCATTCTCAGTCAGGTTCGAATATTGGTCATCGCCTTTATTAATACAAGTGTAGTTAAAACAACAACTACATTGTTGGGATCGCAGGAAACCTGAGTTATTAATTCTTTTATCACAGGCAGAACACCTCATGTCTAACAAACTCAGAAAGATCACAAAAGAGTTAGTTGAAACCGGGGATCGATCCCGGGCATGCGATCTTGGGCTATCACTTTTACCGAACTACCACGGCGTATATTATTGTGAGCGTCGAATATGGTGGCTGCTTTGTAACGTCTTGGTGAGTAAACCACTGATAAAGTCGTATTTGCCTTGAGTCACAGATTGCGTTATTAGTTATTTCTTTATATTTATATATCACCGTGGCTATATTACACATGCACTTTCAACAATCAATATTCAGTTTTGATCACATTACTTTACTATAATAACGTAGTAATAATGGTGTTAATGTCACGAAATTAGAAAGTTCGTAACTTGGTAAATGTTTTGATGCAACTTAAACAACACTTTAGACACTTTTCACGGTAAAACTATTTTATTGATAACAGAGTAAACGACGCACGTCTTGTACCGACAAATTGCGAATGTTTTTTTTTGATTCGCCGTTAAACGGTCATCAGCCCGAAGGAATAGCTTCAGGGTGAAATGGTCATCGGCCTGCAGAAATAGTTTCAGGGCAGAAATAGGCCGTTTAATTCATTTTATTGCCCATCCTGTGTCAGACTGGTACCCCATGATTGAACATTGACGCACGGCTTGTCCGTAGAACATTTCAAGTCTACCGACAAGGAGTCCGCGATAAACGTCTTCGTCAAAATGTTCGTTTACAAGAAACCAGAGGAGTCTGAGAATCTTGAAGAAATTCACTTCTATGAAGTGGATAAGTCCTAAGAAATCGCTTCAGGGTCAAACGGTCATCAGATAGCAGCGATAGCTTCTGGGTCTAACGGTTATCAGCCTGCAAGAATAGCTTCAAGGTCAAACACGATCATCAGCCTGAAGATAGACTCGTTTTGCTTGATCTTAGAGCTAGAGAGAACGAACTGAATGATAAGCAACTAATCACTATGGACGAGACAGTGTCGGACCCAAATGAACCACATACATCTAATATTGATCAAACGTATAATGTGGTCAATAACGTGGGCGTTTTAACGTGAGAATGCATATGTAATTTATGATAAATGTTTGTGGTTGGAATTAAGTGGATGAGCCTTGCCATCTAATGATACCTGCGCCCAAGTGCATTATACTGAAGATTACCGTGGATATGTATATTCCACAGTTTTAAAAGCAAGCTCCTCCGTTGTGCTCTGTCTGGTATAAGACAAGATGGTCCATCTAGATGGGAAGAAATTGCACATCGCGAATGAGAAACACGCTCGCTTAATCTCTCAACCCATTGACAATATGTTTCGTCGTTAGATAAATGGTTTATGGAGTCACGACTTGGTGGGCAACAAATACTATTTACCATGACCATAAGACCCTACTGCCAAAGGGTAACGGCAAAAATACTCCCAATAAATAATATGCCCAAAGTTAACGAAGCACCAACCCCAGCAAATAAGAATAATAAATTTGGACATAACTTTGTACCCTTTATAAAGTGACTTATCATATTTTCATTTAATTATTATATTTTTATAACTTTGCTAAAAGTAAATAAATTCTTCTCAAAGAATTGTTACAACTGCAGTAACTAAACATTCAAGTGTTGTTAATAAAACGCATACCTCCGTTTTCTAAACTTACCATGCAGTAAATATAAATTACATAAAAAACGATGTGTTTATATCTACGAGTATATTAATGAATGAGCTCACTAGTGTATTTAGCAGTTAACAAAAACATATATTTATTAAAGATGTTGACTGTACAGATTAAACATAGGAATGATTATTTTAAATCAATTAATTTAAATGATAACATAATAGTTTTTAAATCAATTAATTTAAATGATAACTTAGTAATTAAACTGATTTGACAAAGCAGCATTTCATTGACGGATAAAAAAATAGTGGACTAATGATTTTGCAAGATATCCAGGATGATAACTTGTTGACAGCAATGACAACTCATTTGTGACAGCCAGCTGTCTTTGTATCGACATCAATACAGTTTATGTGAAAATTACTAACAGATAAAACTTCTGAACGCAAAGTTCTAAAAATCTGGTAATTAAAACTGTAATTGTTGATGATATTACCAGCCAAATAAATACAACAATAATCCCTAACATGAGAAATGCAGGGCGGTACAAAAGTCCTATACATGCTATTGTCCTTTTACAAGTCCTAAACTCAATTATTTTTTCTAAGTTAATATATTAAATAGTACTCACAGTTTGAATGTCCTTTATAAAAGGACACTAAATGATTGACTTGTCACACTTAGCTGCCAGATTCCGCGTCAGAAGTCACGTCGCCTCTTGCTTTAGCCGCTATCACCATGGCTACTACTGTTTTGTGGGTACCATAGGTGTATATTTGCAAGAATGCAACTAAATCATAGTATTTACTATTAAATAACTTTGTCTTCAATCATCTCAGGCCATTATTCAATTTCATCGTAATAAGTCAAGTAGCCTATATTTTATGTAATTGTATTATATCTAATGATTTTTTCTGATCTTACATTTTAGACATTTGGCTACATACCTGCATCAACTTGGACCGTTATGTAGAGTGCATAGCAGCCATTCTTATGGTCTATGTTTTTCTATCTATCAAAGTTTGTCTGGGAGAGAGTTCAAATAAAGTCACCAAATGTACATGAGCTCGTAAACTGATATAGTAAATTATGTTCTCAGTGTTGTTTGATATTCAGTCGTTATTTCGGTAGTCGTTAATTGCTGTTTCAGTTTAAAAGTGAGTAGAGTATAGAGAGTTGAAATAATACCGACCGCTGCTGTTGGTTATTTATGTTACCCACCTTCTATTTAAAAGTGGTTGACCGCAGTTTTGTCCTTCTCTTTACTATTATGCTGAGCAAACTAAGATCGCTTGAAAGGTTGGAGTCTCGTGGACATAAAGACGGCGAGCCATTAAGAACCGAAAATGGCTTGGATACGGATGAGTTGTAACGGCCTGGTCACGGCTTCGGTCTTAGCGGCACGCGGCGCGGCGTCACTAAGCGGAGCGTTGTGTACGCCACGTACCCTCAGTGGCTGGTATGGATATATTTGAACAGCCAGAACACGCTTAAAATCATCCTATCAATAAATTATCCCGTCTCTGCTTTGAAATCAGTATATTTTTATCATAAGATGTTCTTAATACGAGGGAAGGAGTGTGCCTACTGAATATAGATTGGTATTTGAATGGTGAAATGCAGGATTTATTCAATATTTTTTTTATTTCTTCTAACAACCTTTTAATCACGTTTTTATATTTATGTTGAGACTGAATTGATATCTATTTAATGTCGACTCAAGGTCGATTAAAAATTTAAGTATAAACGCCCCAATATGGTCTAAAATATTTTATGCCTTGCTTCGCCGCTCAGTTCGTCGCCCCTACATCGCTGTCCGTGCTGGTCTGTGTCGTGGCGCCGCACTCATTCGCTTGTACCTTTGTTCTCACCGCTCTCGACACCGCGCGCCGCTATAGCGATTCGCTCAATGAAAATGGGCGCGTTCTCGCTATGATCGGCGTATCGTGACGTGCATCAAACATTTTCATAAATATAATTTCACCCCTTACGGCGGCAAGGTCGTAAAGGGGCCGTTCAGCCGACCTGCAGAATCTAACCACGGGTAAGAGAGCATTGATCTCAAAAATATATCTGGATGAGAAGACCACGGTCTTCGAGATCAAAGTACTGTCTAAACATATGCCAGCCGGACAAAGATGCTTATGATGAAAATGAGGTGATCAATTGTCACGTGTACGATGTACACCAGAGTAACAAAAAAATAAGTACATTGTTCGTAGAAACCCTCTGCAGTGATAACACTCTGCTCGCGCATGTTATTATGAAAAACAAGGCGTTTAATTTATTTTATTGCTCATCCTGTGTTAGATTGGTGCCCCATGATCGAAGTCTATCGACAAGGAGCCCGCGTTAAACGTCTTCGTCAAAATGTTTATTTACAAGAAACCAGAGGAGTCTGAGAATCTTGAAGAAATTCCCTTCTATGAAGTGGATAATGGGTGAAGTAGATTCAGCGTTAAACGGTCTTCAGCCCGAAAGAATAGCTTCAGGGTCAAAAGGGTTATCAGCTAACAGCAATAACTTCAGGGTCAAACGGTCATCAGCCAGCAGCAATAGCTTTAGATTTAAACGGTCATTGGGTTGCAGAAACGGCTTCAGGGTCAAACGGTTATCAGCCTGCAGGAATAGCTTCAAACTCAAACGATCATCAACCTGAACGTATATTCACTTTGCTTGAACATAATAGAGCCAGGGAGAACGAACTGAATGATATGCAACCAACTACTTCTATCAACGAGACAGTGTCGGATACAAATGAACCACATACATCTAATACAGACCAAACGTATAATGTTCGAGCGAAATCCAAGAGTTTCAACTGTACGCCAAAAGAATGCATGAAAAATATATGATAAATGTTTGTGGTTGGATTCAAGTGGATAATCCTTGCGATCTGATGGTGGCTGCACCCAATGGCAATATACTGAAGATCACCGTGGATATATTGAACAGTTTTAAAGCAAGCTCCTCCGTTGTGCTCTGTCTGGTGTGAGACAAGCATTTCGCTCTAGATGGGAAGAAATTGCACATCGCGTATGAGAAACACGCTCGCTTAATCTCTCGACCCATTGACAATATGTTTCGTCGTAAGATAAATGATTTATGGAGTCACGACTTGGTGGGCAACAAATACTATTTAACAGGACCAGAAGACCCCACTGCACCCCCAAGGTTAACGACAAACTACTCCCAGTAAATTATATGCCCAAACTTAACGAAGCACCAACCCAAGCAAATAAGAATCATATCTTTGTACATTGGAAAATTTGTGATATAAAGATACATTGCTTTTTTACTTAAGCGCTCATGAGTATACCATATCACATATTCTTTCAAAATCAACATACCACAATCCATTAATTCGTAATTGAAACGCGGTTGATTCATGCTGGGCGGGAACAATGGACATTGTGTCCATGATGGGCGAAACGTATAATGTCAAGATATTGTAACAAATTTTGCATGTACTCTTGATACATGGCGTTGTATCTTTTGTCTGAATTACGGTGTGGTTTCGTTACCGCATCGATGTTATATATAATTTTTGGTTTTAATAAATGATCTTGTATGAGAATTTGTGTTTTTATACATGTTGCAGCTCAAGAGACACAAGTGATTAGCCACCCTTGGAGTAACCATTCACTAGCCAAGCCTCAAAGTTCTTGATGATTGTAACTGAAATCTTTCTAGCGAGAACAATACTGTATTGATTCTATTGGTTCTACCTATGATTTTTTCTTTGGAAATGTCCTGCAAAATTGTGCCCATGTATCTGTATATCACAAAGAACAATGGCAGAAACATATTTACCTAAAACTTAAGCGTTTAAAAAATCGAGTCACAGTAAACTTAATCAATTTTTTTTCTATGATTTATCATGACACCACCATGTGTTGTATAAGTCTTATAAGAGATAAGATATTTTTGAAGATTTTATTTGACCTAAGTACGTAATGTCAGATTCGCCATCACGTATAACTGACTAGGGATGCTTGGTGGCAATATTATATTATGGAACAATTTATCGATAATCGATTCTTATAGCTTTGGCTGAAATATTTACCGAAGATTCACTATTATGATTATGAATTTGCTTCTGCCCACGTCTTCACTCGTACGGTAGAGTGACTGAATCAACATAATTAGAAATGATTTAAAATATTTTTGACTCTCTTTAAACGATTTTAAACACACTAAAGAAATAGAATATAGTTACGTTATTTTCCACTACACAGTGTGATGAGAAAAATACATTGTCATTGATAACGGCACATAAATAGACATACATCGATATTTTCAAAATATCGATACGTCGTCGTTTAGTCATCATCACATCACATCAACAGCCTTTATCAGTCCACTGCTGGACAGGCTTCTCCTTAGAAAGGAGGTTTTGGCCTACTATACCTCGCTGGCCAGACGGGTTGGTATAGGGTTTGTGTCAAGTTTTCCTTCCCTCTGCAGTGATGTTGTTATGCGTAGTTTTTTCCCGTAGTCGGCTCTTACGACACCCACGGGATGAATAGGGGTGGTGACACTCTGTATTCTTAATCCGTCACCACACGGAGCCACACGGAGCGTCGTTTAGTACATATCTCTTAATCTGTGGTTTAGATCCTGTCAAGTTCCGGACTCACCACGTTTTTTATTTTATTTTTGTTTAATTTAGTGTTAAACTCGAATAGATGTTATGCTTTTATTTTTTTTATTTCATAGACTGTAATAATAATGAAAATAATATTTTCGGCTATCTGACACACAACGCCATCTAGTTTCAAACAAAACATTAACAATATGTTAGTACTTAACCTCGAAACATTCAAAATCCAATATCTTTTTTCCTAGACTTCTTTCGCAAGTAATTTTGATATGAGAATGGTCAAGAATAAATTCTCAAGTTTTAAGGATTTTTTGATATTTAAACGCTAACATTTCAGTTCAAATAAAATTATGTATGGGGACCTGCCATTGTCCTTTCCGTTGTACAAAGATATGATTCTTATTTGCTTGGGTTGGTGCTTCGTTAAGTTTGGGCATATAATTTATTGGAAAATGGGTTAAACCCCCCGTTTAAAAAAAAAAAAAACTATCAAAAAAAAATCCCCCTTAAAAACTTTTGGGGAATTAAAAAAATTTTTTGGGAAACCCATTCTCATTAAAAATTTATTTGCGAAAAAGTCTAGGAAAAAGATTTTGGATTTTGAATGTTTCGGGGGTTAAGTACTAACATATTGTTAATTTTTTGTTGAAACTAGAGGGGCTTTTGTGTGTCAATAGCCAAAAAATTTTTCATTATTTTTACAGTCTAGAAAAAAAAAAAAAAAAAAAAAAGCATAACATCTTTCGAGTTTAACACTAAATTAAACAAAAATAAAATAAAAAACGTGGTGATCCGGAACTTGAAGGATCAAAAACCAAAGTTAAGAGAATGTACAAAAACGACGCTCCGTGGGCTGTGTGGGGGGGTTTAAAATACAGAGTGTCCCCCCCCCCCTTTCACCCCGTGGGTTCTTTAAGAGCCGACTCGGGAAAAAAACTCGCAAAAACAACATCACTGCAGGGGGAAAAAAACCCTTCCCAAAACCCCCCTATCCCAAACCCGCTGGCCCAGCGGGGTATAGTAGGCCAAAACCCCCTTTCTAAGGAGAAGCCTGTCAGCAGGGACTGAAAAGGTTTTGAGTGATGTGATGATGACTAAACGACGACGAGATTTTTTGAAAATACGATGTAGTCTATTTATGGCCGTTATCAATGAAATTTTTTTTCTCATCAATGGTAGGGAAAATAACGTAACTATTTCTTTTTTCTTTAGGTTTTTAAAAAACTTTTAAAAAATCAAAAATATTTTAAACATTTCTAATTATGTTGATAGTCACTCTCCCGAGAGGAAGACGTGGGCAGAAGCAAATTCATAATCATAAAGTGAATTTCGGAAAAAATTTTTTCACCCAAAACCCAAAGAATCGATTATCGATAAATTGTTCCATAATAAAAATATTGCCACCAAGCATCCTAGCCCAATTTATAGTGAGGGGCGAATCTAAATTACGTACTTAGGTCAAATAAAATCTTCAAAAATATTTTCTTTTATAAGATTATAAACACAGGGTTTGGTTTATGTAAACATAGAAAAAAAATTTGATTAATTTTTGTGACCGATTTTTTAAACGTTTAAAGTTTTAGGAATTGTTTCTGCCATTTTTCTTTTGATAAAAAGATACATGGGCACAATTTGCAGGACATTTCCAAAGAAAAATATGGGTAAAAACCAATAGAATAAATAAGTATTTTCCGCTAGAAAGATTTTTCAGTTACAATCATAAAAGAATTTGGGGCGGGTAGTGAAGGTTACCAAAAGGGGGCTAATCATTGTGTCTCTGAGCTGCAACTGTAAAAAAAACAAAAAATTCTCATACAAGAATTTATTAAAAACCAAAAAATTTAATATAACATCGAGCGGAAACGAAAACCACACCGAATTTCAGACAAAAGATACAAGCCGTATCAAGATACATGCAAAATTTGTTACAATATCTTGACTTTCTTTTCCCCCATCAGGACACAATGCCTTTGTTCCCGCCCAGCAAAATTTTCAACCGCGTTTCAATTACGAATAATGGATGTGGTATGTGATTTAAAAAGAATATGGATATGGTATACTCAGAGCGCTTAATAAAAAAGCAAGTATCTTTATATCAAAATTTTTCCAATGTACAAAAAATTTATTTATTTGTTTGGGTTGGTGCTTTTTTAATTTTGGGCATAAAATTTTACGGGAGTATTTTATCGTTCCCCCTGGCAGTGGGGTCTTTGGCCTTTAAAAGTATTTTTTGCCCCCCAATCGTGACCCCAAAACATTTTCTTACGAAAAAAATTGAAAATGGGTCGGAGTTTAAAGCGAGCTGTTTCTCATACGCGATGTGCAATTTTTTCCCCCCTTAGAGCGAAATGCTTGTCTAACAAAACAGAGCACAAAGGAGGAGCTTGCTTTAAAATGTTCAATATATCCACGGGATCTTTAGATATTGCCCTTGGGGGCAGCCCCATCAGATCGCAAGGATTTCCCCTTTAATCAACCACAAAATTTATATATATTTTTTATGCATCTTTGGCGTACAGTTTAAACTCTTTGGGTTTTGCTCGAACATTATACGTTTGGGCTGTATTAGATGTATGTGGTTCATTTTTATCCGACACGTCTCGTGATAGAAGTAGTTGGGTTTATATCATTAGTTCGTTCTCCCTGGCTTTTTATGTTCAAGAAAGTGAATATACGTTCAGGTTGATGATCGTTTTTATTTTAAGCTATCCTGCAGGGATAACCCTTTGACCCTGAAGCCGTTTCGAAACCCCAAGACCCTTTTAAACAAAGCATTGCTGTGCTGAGACGTTTGACCCTGAAGTTATTTCTGTTGCTGAAACCCTTTGACCTGAAGCTATTCTTTCGGGCTGAAGACCGTTTAACGCTGAATCACTTTTACCCATTTTCCCTTCATAGAAGGGGAAATTTTTTCAAATTCTCAGACTCCTTGGTTTTGTAAATAAACATTTTGACGAAAACGTTTAACGCGGGCTCCTTGTCGATAGACTTTGATCATGGGGCACCAATCTAACACAGGATGAGCAATAAAAAAAATTAAAAGCCTTGTTTTTCTAAAACTGCGGGACAGAGTGTTTTCACTGCAGAGGGGTTTCTACGAACAATGTACTTTTTTTTTTGTTACTCTGGTGTACATGTACACGGACAATTGAGCACCTCATTTTTTCATAAGCATCTTTGTCCGGTGGCATTGTTTAGACAGTACTTATCTCGAAGACCGTGGTCTTCCTTTCCCGAATATTTTTAGATCAATGCTCCTTTCCCGTGGTTAGATTCTGAGGGGGGCTAAAAGGCCCCCTTTTCGACCTTTTCCGCCGTAAGGGGGGAAATTAATTTTGAAAAGTTTGATGCACGTCACGATACGCGATCTAGCGAGAACCGCCCGTTTTTATTTTAGCAATCGCTATACGGCGCGCGGTGTCGAGGCGGT